GAGTGTCTTCATATATACTTGTCCTAGTCGGGTCCGAATCGGATCCGACTGAGAAACGAGTAGCTGATGAAGGGGCGGCTGATACTTCCTCCGATCCGGCTCTGGGATTGGTCCGATACTTAGCGAGGCTGTAACATCGTTACAGTATCTATTATAAACTCTACTTTAGTATATAAGAGCCTAATTATTAGTTAAATTCGCTTTTTTTACTCTTTTTTTATATTTCTATATAAGTATCTTATATTCTTAGAATATAAGATAGTATTATTAAATAAAAACACATTTCTAGATTATAAACTAGGATTCTAGAGAATAAAATTTAATATATATACTAATAGGTAAGTATACTATATATAGTTAAGAATCACTAAAAAAGAAAGTACTCTATTAAACTAAACGTTCTAGTATATACTATGGTATACACTTATGTCATAGTCTCGACTAGTTATATAATAAAAAGCCCTTAGCTTGTTGAAATCAGCTGCTTGTGGTGCCATGGCTTCCCGAGCAATTGGTTTGCCCTGTAAGCTACACGCAAAATGCCTCCCATCCCTGATAGGCGTTGGGCCGGGGTCTGCGTAAGCCTTTGTTGTCCTAAACAGGACCTTTAGTTAGTAAAGACTAGCGATCAGGGTCTAGCTGACGGGGCATAGCGCTCCGAGGGGAGGGTGCACTTCAAAAATGCCATGGGTCGTTACGTTGGCGTGGTAAACCCTTTTTGAACTCTGAATTCAACGTTGTATCAATTCAACGTCATTTTGAGCATTCCCGCAAGACACACCGCCCACCCCTGTAAACTTAACGCTAACTTTGTCAGTGGTACCGCAGAGTAGCGCCTGCATGCTTGGGGGGAACGGCGACCAAACGTCAAAAAAAGGAAGCTTAAATAAAGCTGTGGTTGTTCCCCAGACGCCAATTGCTTTTCTTTTTCCCTTCTTTCCCATCCGCCAAAAGAAAGGGTTCTCTCTCTCAACCTGCAAACATGCAGGACCTTGCACCAGATCTGAACGCATCCTTTTCGAGCATTGCACCACAGCCAGCTACTATGCCGACCGAGACATACATGCACGGTCTCGCCGTCACCCTCGGCCTTCTCCTCTTCCCCATCATCACCGCCTTCTACGTCCACAAGGACTACTGTGCCTTCCTATCCCTAGGCCCCGGCGGCACTCCCGCAACACCCTTAGGCTACCTCAAAATCAAGCTCCTCTCGCTCATCTGCCTGCGAGACCCGCGGCGTCCCATTCCCATTCCACCACACTACCGTCCGCAGAGAGGCTACTTTTTCGAAGATGCACTGCCACACCGCACCGGCCACAAGCCAGAAATCCGCGGCATAGCTCCGCAGCGCCAGCAAACGCAGGTTAGCACCAAGGAAATCTACGGCAAGCTTGTACTCAAGATCAAAGAGCTCGCGAGCGATCCCCGCAACAGGCTCACGGAGCGAACCAGTTGCTTCGAGAAGCACAGCACCGGCCTCTTCACCAGCATCCCCATTACCAGGACCTGCGGAGGCGAGATATGCCATGCACACCCGAGCGACGGGTCCATGCACCTGACGCTGCACCCGGCTGATGCGAATCTCATCATGGCTCACGGCTGGGGCGAGCGGCATCCGCTGGCGCGGGGTGGGTGGTGCAGAAAGTTTGTGCCTCGCGAGTTCATGCTTGTGTACGCGCCCAGAGACGACGAAGAGGTCGAGATTGTGACCAAAATTGTTGCGGCCAGTATCTGGTGGGTCAGCGGTATCAACGTTAGTGGGGACACCGAAGGTCCGAGAAGGAAGAGCGCAGACGTGGCGGCTATTGGTAGGGAGATGCAGGGAGACCAGTGCTGGGCTTGTAGGGTGAACACGTGTGGGGGTAACAAGGTTGAGCAAATGGCGAGCGATGCTTGAGGGAGCGTGGAAGGCTACTTCCGAGGGCTTGCGCAGGGACAGATTGATTGAATTCGTGCAGGACTTTTTGGCGCGTTTAAGCATGGCGTCTGGGATTTATTGATCATCGGGATATACAGTGTAAGAATGGGCGGGAACTTGTTATTCAGAATGCTCGAGCGTGTTTGTTGGCATATTCATTCCTATATTGTAAATCTGTCTCATGATTTGAACCGGGCTTTTGTATCGGGATGCGTTGCTGGCCTTCCAGACACACGTCGTCCACCGTATATTCTTGTAGCCATATCCTATTTCCCACCTTGCCTCACCCATGTCTCAAATTCCTTCCTCTTTCCTTTGACATCCCAAAATCCCCTCCTGCCCTCACTATTCCCACCAATGCCTGCGTCCAGGCCGAGAAACGCATATGGATCGCCCTCGCTCAAAACCTCCTCACCCTCCCTCGTGTAGCGACCCTCGCTTTGCTGCCCTTGTCGTGACATCTGACCCGCCCATTGTGCGTAGTGTATTGGCTTCAGCGGCGCAAAGGAAATGACGATGCCGAGGGAGAGGAGTAGGATGGATGTGAGGAGCTCAATCGAGATGTCGAGGGGTAAGGGCGTGTTTGTGAACGTTGCTGTATGTTCGTGGGTAGAGTAGACACTTGGCAGTGTCAGTGCATGTACGCGAATCGATGCAAATGATTGCACAGATGTCTCCGGTTTTCTAAATGGGTGGGTAAGCTGTGTGCGACTTACGCATGTGTAAGTAAGAGCACGCCGATGCCATTCAGCGCTGTCCCTAGGATGGCCATTGCGAAGCTTCGTGGAGTTGCCTAACGTTCGTTGAGGTCGAGAGTGAGCGTAAGAGATGAACCGAAGCGGGCGTGTAGTTTTGATGGCCGAGACGCTGCTGTTTGTACTGCGCAGGCAGAGATGGGGGCTGCGGGGTGGTGGAGGTTGGCTTCGGTGATGTTGAGGCGATGAGCTTCAGTTTTCCTCGGCGGACCCTGGCGGCCTAGGTAGTAGTACACAACCTACCATGACCTTCACATGCTTTGCTCTTCTCAGCCACCAACACCCCCTACAACAAAACTATGTGTACAAGCTACAGAGCGTAACATTTGGTAACGCCTTAGTCGCCCTATCATGTCTTCCTGTCAGGCTACGCATCCGACTATATCTGCCTACCTACGTCACATGAGGCTCCCGCGCAAAAATGGCACCAGTTAACAGTAGTAATTGCTGAATCCAACATGACATTCATAGTAATCGCGCAGGAAAACTCCATAAATGGTGGTGGCTGAGCTCGGAGATGTGTACGGTGATTCGATCTCCGACAACATGTCCGCATCGATCTCCGCATGGCAAAGCATAGCGACTTTTTGAGGTAACAACTAAGGTATAATAAAGCAGCCAAATAATTCACATTTCGAAACTTTTCAAGAGCCTCATCGCTTCATCATTTCAAATAATCACCATTGCATATTCATCACACTATCAATACTATCCCACTTATCTCAAACATGGACAACTTACCACCATACGACTCTACAAAGTTCCTCGACATTCTGATAGTAGGCGCAGGTGTAGCTGGACCAGTTCTAGCCCTCCTCCTCCAACGCTCCAACCCCGACCACAACATAACAGTCATAGAACGCTGGCCCAGTCTCCGTACTGGCGGCCAGCAACTCGACCTCACAGCCCAATGCATCCCCATCATGCGTCGTCTAGGGCTCCTCGAAGAACTCCGTCAGTACTGCGTCAACGAAACAGGAATGGAGCTCGTCGACCACCACGGAAAAAGCCTCATGCAATTCGGCGTCACAAAAGCCGGTGACAAAGGCGGCACCTTTGAGCTCACCAATGAATTCGAATTCATGCGCGGGGACTTTGTAAAAATGATGTACACAGCCAGTCTCGCAGACCGCGAATCCCTAACCGCCAAAGGCCACAAAAACGGTAGCCTAACTTACCTGTTCAACACATCCCTCACTGCCATATCCCAAGACACAACCACCCCGGGTCTAACAACTGCCACCTTCTCAACCGGCGAAGCCAAACCCTACAACCTCATCGTCGCCGCCGACGGCCAAAACTCACGCACCCGCCGCCTTGTCTTCGGGAAAGAAATCAACAACTCAGCCTACACCTCCCTAAACACCCACGCCGCCTTCTTCCACATCCCACGCTCATCCGACGAAACCAGCCTCGCTCGCATGTACTTTAGCCCAGAAAACCAGCTCACCATGACGCGTTCGGGCGATCGTCCAGAAACGCAAGTGTACCTCATCCAAATGGCAAACGCGCAGCGCACGCCCGTCCTAAAAGCAGCGCAGAAATTACCGGTAGCGGAGCAGAAAGAAGTTTGGGCGGAGTTGTATCGCGATGCGGGATGGGAGTGTGAGCGGTTCACTCAGAACCTGGAAAGTGCAGAGGATTTCTATGCTACGGAGATTGTGCAGGTGAAGATGCCGAGAAGGCAATTGTATTCGGGCCGCGTGGTGTTGCTAGGCGATGCAGGGTACTGTCCCTCCCCTTTTACGGGTATGGGGACTACGCTGGCGCTGATTGGGGCGTATGTGCTTGTGGGTGAGCTGGGTAAGCATACAGGTGATGTAGATGCGGCGCTTAGGGCGTATGAGGAGGAAATGAAGGAGCCGGTTGAGGAGAATCAGGAGTTGGGGGTTTGGGTTAATGGGGGGAAGGGGGTCTTTCCGCGGTCTGGGTGGGGCATTTGGGCTGTGAATACTGTTTTGTGGACTATGGCTGTGTTGAGGGTGGATAGGGTACTAGGGAAGCTGGCGGGTTTGGTGCCAGAAGGAAAGGGGAATGGGTGGAAGTTGCCGGAGTATTCTGGTATGAATATGGAACCGCTATAAGGAGGTCAAGTGAAGTAATGAGCTGGATTTAGGTATCATGTTTTTGTGTTATTAGAATCATATAGACGGGTTACATAGATTTTCTTTCATTTCTTAATCATAACGTCATTCATATAAACAACTAGTCTCGGTAAGAGATATTTAGTACGCCCCCTCCCTCTTTTCATACCCCTCTCCCTCTACAACCGCCACATCCCCAAGTCCACTCCAAATCTCCGCATCAACCTTGAGTTCAAACCCACCAATCTTCGTCGCTCCAGCATCCAGTCCCCAAAGCGATACGCCCAGATAATTCGTCCCCTTGTAATTCAAAATACCCTCAGGAACAGGGAACTTCGTCTGCGGCCCCACATTGTTAACGTACTTTCCATACTGCCATCCATTAACGTAGAGTTGAACACGGTAAGCAGGGACACTGCTTCCAGCAGACGAAGACGTAGCGTTGGTAAAGGTAAAACTGAGAGGTACGTCGTAGCCGGAGGGAACGTCAAGTTCGAACTCTGTAGCGAAGAAGCCGATGCCCGGGGTACCGATACCGTCGGTGACGGGGCCGGCAGAGGGCTTCCAGTCAAGATCCGATGCGGAGAGAGCACCGGGGAGATGAAGGCCTTGTCTCTCAACAAACAAGCCACCTTCGTTGAGCGGCCCGCGCGAAATATCGCGGTAGTCTTCTCCGCCCAGGTTACCGGTGAGTTTCCAGGTGACGTCCGAAGCATCGTGGCCTGAAAGCTTGTAGTCGAGGATACCGCGCGGGTTCTTCATTGTTTCGGTGCCGATGGTCCAGTTTTCGTCGAGACCCTGATTGTCGATCACAACGGTGATGGTGTATTTTGTTCCGGCGGTTAGCTTGGGGAGTGTAAAGGTCGAGTTGCCGTTCGTGGCGGCGTCGTAGCCGCGCCAGGATCCGAGGAACTGTGTGCCAATCCAGGCTGATGACCCAAAGGCTGAGCCACCTTGTGTCGAGAGTTGCAGGGTAGTCTCGTTGCCAGTGGCTGTGAAGGTGCCGCGGTAGAGTAGGGTACCAGTGTGGTAACCGTAGTCGGAGCTGTATAGCGAGACGGGGGTGGTTAGTCGACGAAGGGAATTGTATGTCTTCTTGAGGTCTGCGACTGTCCATTTGCTGTCGTCGTATCCGGGCTGGATTTCGGGAAGAGAGTCGATGTACTTCCACTCGAGTTCGTTCAGCTTGGGGATGCTGATGTTGGGCTTGGGAAGATCAATGGTTGCAGTGAAGGTACCCTGCTTGGAAGTTTCAAAGGAAATATCTTTGCCGTTGAAAGTCAACTTGGAAACACCAGTGGCGCCGCCAATGATTTCAATAGGGGTTGTGGCATTCACATCGCCGGTCAGAGCGAGGGCGTCGCCAGTGACCTTGGCCGTACGCACCAAATAGCCTGCCTTGAGAATGACAGGGTTGGAAGCGTCGTGTGGTGCCTGATCAATTGACCAGTACTTGAAAGCTTCGTTACGCTCTTTGAGAAAATGTCAGTAAAAACTTCATATATGTCGCTTTCTCTCAGAAACTTACCAAGCAGATACACATAAATGGGGCTCTCAGTCCCCAGTTTGACAACCTTTCTCGTAGCATCAGCCTTGAAGCTCAGCAGTGTGTGACCGCGAGTGGCTACGCTCTTGACATCGCCTTCAAGAATCTCAAGACCGGTAACTTCGACAGAAAGCTCATGAGTTTCTCCCGGTCCACCATAAACAATCAGAACAGTCTTGTCGTTGTACTTGTGCCAGGTAAAGATTTCAGCAGTCGAATAAGCAATATTTGTACCGCCAATATCGTAGTCGGCAACATGAACCTTGGCATCACGTCCGTTCAGCGTCAGGGAAGTACCGTTGAGCTGCGGCACAGTGATGTTTCCAAAAGCTTGCGTCGAAATCTTGAGCTGGTAGCTCGTACTCGCCAGCGAATTATACTTGGCATGTCTCAAGAAGTAAAAGCTAGTCTTGTTGCCGTGCGCAGGAGTAACGCTGAGATCACTCGAGGTAGTCCATGTGGAGGTCGAAGCAGCACCGCGCGAAGCAGTCAGATATTCGGGACTGACTTTCCAAAAGTTTGCCTGGAGCTTGAGTTCAGAGTACTTTTCACGCTTGACTTGGCGGTCTTCTTCAATCGGCGCGGCATAGTCGTACGATGTGTAGCCTCCTGGGTGACCCAAGTTTCCCCAGTTGGTACCGCCAAAGGTCATGTATAGGTTCAGGATGGTGACGCCGAAGCTGTAGAGTTGCTTGTAGAAAACGCGGTTGAACTCTGCGCCAACTAGGATTCCGCACTTGTCGAAACCTGGGCCGCCCCACTGAGGAATGTTAGATTATTTTGGTGACATTTAAATACTTCTAAACTTACAGGGTCAAAGCTGCCAGACTGAAACTCAACGATTGAGTAAGGGGTGGTCGGGCTTTGCTGCTGGTGCAATTGTTGCCAGTTTGTCGGCAGATTGTTGTCAGGCCATCTGGTGGGATTCGCACAATCGAAGCCAAGAGGGTATCCGTCGTGTCCATAAATATCGACTGGCGCAGGAGTACCAGGAGCATTGTATCCCTTTGGAGATGCGTCGTTGCTGATAAGCGGCACAACGATGCTGGCATTGCGGATCTGATCCTCGACATAGGTCATGTAGACTGGATCGGGAAAAGGCTTGATTGCGCTTGTTGCCTGAGTGTACTCGTTCTCCGGCTGAATCAGAATGATTGGTCCTCCGTTCGTGATTTGAGCTTTGGCAATCGTGGCGCCAATGTTCTTCATGTAGCTGAAAATTATCAGTATCAGATATCACAAATGGTTCAATGATTCACATACTTGTCAGTCGCCGCCAAAAAGTCCGGTGCGCGAGTTCTCAGCGTGCCATTGATACGTTGGATCCATCCAGGAAAGCCTCCGCCAGAAGCCTCGGCATTGATATAAGGGCCCGGTCGAGCAAGAAGGTAAATACCTGCTTCTTTCGCCGCATCGAAAAAAGGCTGGAGACTGAACACGCCTTCCTCGCGGTAAACACCCGGTTTGCCTTCTAACAACGCCCAGTCGACGTAGAAAGACACGCCATTGAACCCAAGCGCCTTGATCTTCTGGAAGACATCAAGGTGCAAATCCGGAACCGGCAGTCTGAACGGATGGACTTCGCCCGAGTACAAGAAGATGCGTTCGCCATTGACAAACAGCGAGTCTTTATCCCAGGTAACCTATTTAGTAAGAGTTAACTTCTCCCAATCGACATACACAATCAAAACTCGTGTTTTGGATCTCTAAACTTACAATATCCTGCAACGGCCCCCTCTTATACGGCTTAATAAAATCTGTCGGCGACGTATACCCAACCGCCCTCGCTGCACCCTCTACAGCAAGACATCCCAGCGCAACCGCGCCTCCGAGCCCAGCGAAGCCTTTCATCTTTTCCACTTGGTACTGCTACCCAGCGAAAAAAAAACAGAATACGTCAAAAAAGCTAGGTCTGTGCAAACAAGCCCAGTAACCAGCCAGGAGGAAAGGAGTGCGATATACCCAGTATTAATACACACTTACTCAAATTCAATTACACTTCATATTCGGATCTATGAACTATTCCGCACCAACGGACCGACGCGGCATCGTACATGGATATGGGCGCGCGTTTTTTTTGGGGGGGGAGGGGCGTGATTGTTCCTGTACATGCACATGTACATATGTCAGGGCCTAAAGAGCGGCACAATGACACCATGGTACATGACGTTCCATCGCGACATACGTAACTACCCCGGCCTCTTTTCCCCGCTCGCGAAATATCGCGCCCCTGTCATAACGAAAACAAGGACGGCTGAGAGCTCAAACCGCAGAGCGCAAAGAAAAAAACATCAACTTTTATTTTCTGCATCTAGTAGTAGCTCCTCGATGCCAATCTAGCAATGTATAGTAGTAATCAATGCACTCAGGAACGCAACTGCAACCCCCTGTGCAATGCGACATGTCAATAAAAGACCATTTGCTATTCCACCCCCCAGTAGTTCCTCCTCCTCCCCTGGTCATCGGAAAAACTCCCCCAAAAAATTACTACGTACCACACATATTTACCCATCCCCCTTTCCCCGCCCTTCCCCCCCCCCCTAGTAAATACGCAAAAACACCT